TTGGCCGAGCGACTGGTGTGATTCTCACCGTTACCCCACCTAGCGATGACGAAGGAGCGGAAGCTCGCCAATCTGTATCCCAATGTTTGAGTTCATCCACCGCAAGTCGATACAAGGACGGGCCGGGCGCCTCAGAAGGGGTACCGTAGAGCAGCGCTGCGCGAGATGATAGAGGCAAAACCTGAAGTGTGTCAACATGTACAGTATCAGTGTTGTTGTCGCTGTATGTGTATTCTGTTGTCGTCTACTCAAATGGAAACAAAGGCTGTATTTCGCACTCAGCATGGTCCCTGCCCGGGCCAATTCAGAGTCGTCTGGGCCAGCCGTAGATATCCTAACACCACACTGTGGTAGTCACTTGCGAAGCAACATGCTCGCTAACCCCCTCTAGCTACTAGGAAACACGCGCTCGCCTTCGCCAACTCGCCAAATCTCCACCCCACCCTCGCCACCAACGGCAACCACACCCCTCGCCCAATCCAGACTCAACACCTTCTTCCCCTTCTTCTCCAAGCCCTCCCACACCCTGAAGCTCGTCACCGCACTCTTTGTGCTGCGCAGGTCCCACAGGCGGACGACGCCGTCATACGCGCCTGTCAGTAGTTGATGCTCCGTGCCCGCGCTATCCGACGCTGGCGAGACAGCGATGCACGAAGGCGTCGCGGGGTGGAGGAGCGACGCGGTCGAGGCGGTGATGTTCGTCGCGGCCGCGCGGAAGTCGTACTGCGACACGGTGCGGTCCGTCGAGCACGCAAGCGCGGACGTGCCCGCGGGCGTGAGCGCGAGGTCGAGGAACGGCTTCGAGGACGCAGCCTGTGAACGTGCGGGTAACCCGTGAGTTATGGTGAAGCGGGAGAGGAGAGCACTGGGAGACGCACGATGGTATGCGTGCACACGCCGTTCTCGACGTCCCACACGCGGACGGTCGAGTCGAACCCGCAGCTGTACGCCTGCTCGGCGGCGCCCGGGCCGAAGCCATGGCTGAACACGGCTTTGGACACGCGCGCGGTGTGGCTCTTTAGCACGGAGAGCGGGGCTTTGCGCCTGGGGCGCGGCGGGTCGTCCTCGATGCGGCGACGCTTTTTGCGCTCAGTGGGCTCGTCTGCGGGCACCTCGTCCGATGCGGGGACGGAGGTGTCCCAGACGCCGATAAGCCCGTCCCAGGAGGCGGTGAGGAGATGCGAGCCCGAGGCGTTGGCGGATATCGACGCGAGGGGCGCTGTATGTAGGTGAAGAGATGATACAGTCTGTGATTTAACGGGCTGAGCGGAGTCGGATGGGAGGGTGAGGTTGGTCAGGCGCGCGGTGAGGTCGTGCGAAGCGCTGGCGACGAGGTGCGTTGAGGACGATGAGGATGAGGGGACGAGGCAGATGGACGTCGAGGGTGCTGCGTGGATCGCGGCGCTGTGCAACAGCTTTTGGGAGTAGTCGAAGGTACGGATGGTTCCGTCGTAGGACGCTGTGAAAATGTACCTATATACAAGTCAGCTCCCGGCTTTGACGATCGTGCAGCGGCTCCGCATGCGCTCAGGTGTGTCGTTGCTTGGTGGCGGGACCTTACATTCAATTCGTGATAGATGCACGCTGCACGAGAATATATATGACAACTCTTATTGACATACCCGGGTAGTTGACATGAGACTGACGAGACCCAGTCTTCGTGCGGTAATGTGGACATCTTCTGCGGGGGCATCACAGACTCAAAGTACTCTATCTCCAGAGTTTCTTCCTGGACAAGGCGAGAAATTCGTTAAATACAGGCGCATGCCATGACGGTTATGCCACACACCTCCCCGATCCCCTTCTCCGCACACCATTCTGCCAACGTCCCCCGCAGGATTTCGCCCCGCACCAGAAAGTCAAATGGAATCGGCTTGGGCAGAGATAGAGCCTTATTGACTAGCTGGGAAAGCTGGTATCGTTTCCATGATGCTGGTATCATGAACTTTTGTGAAGGCAAGGGATACTCCGTTTGTGTGGTGAAGACCACGGGATGAGATGTTTCCGCAATGATCGAAGCCATGTCAATCTAGTGTCTTCGTTCGTCTCCTCAGCAGTAGAAGTAAGGCCAACAAGTCCTGGCTGCAGCGGGACTCGAAGTAGGAGGAGGAGGGAGGAGAGACGGCGGATAGACGCTCGGCCAAAAGATTCGCCTTCACGCTGTCACACCGATCGCGTCGAGGTAACGCGCCGTCACGCGTCCTGGACGCAGGGTGTGACCATCGATCACATGCTACGGACGTTCCTTATTGGCTGAAGCGATGTTGTCTGCTACTGCTGCAGGGTCGCGTACTACGTATCGAGTTTCCTATGATCGTTTCTTACGCAGCAGTGAGTCAAAACACACCATGTGGAAACTTCAATACTAGATACAGCGAATAAATTGACCAATGATCACAACTTCCCCTTCTCCAACTTATTGATGTACGCCACCCCAGCACCGAGGCAAACCTAGCAGATGAGACAAAACGAGCCATCAGTTACCAAGCCCGCCCTCGACGCCAATATCACACTCACCTTCCCAGTGGTCACATTCTTCGTGACGAACGTCACCTCCGTCGTCCCATCGGGGCCAGGACCCACCTCCCAGACCGCCGTCTCGAGCGCATCGCCCGGCTTGACGGGCGCGGTGAAGCGCAGCGCGAAGAAACGCAGCGACTTGGGGTCGTTCCCGCCGATCGCACTCACGAGCGCGCGCGCAGCAAAGCCGTACGTCGCCAGGCCGTGCAGGATCACCCCGCCGAAGCCGGATGCCTGGCCAATACTCGGGTCTGCGCGGAGCCATCAATTCAGCTAGGAGTTGGGGCTTTGTGGAAGGGCAGGTCGAGTGGGAGGTACGTACCGATGTGCAGCATGTTATAGTCGCCGCTGAGCCGATAGAGTATGGCCTGCTCGGGCTTAGTTTCGTCCCGAATGACCCAGTCGGGCTTCCTGTCCTTCGGGACGGGCTTTGCTTGCGGAGGGCCTGCGATGCGCTTGGAGAAGTTTGCGCCTGTCGGCCGTGCGCCGAGGTTGAACGCGGCAGACTACGGGAGGTCAGGAGTAAGTGTGGCGGGGAGAAGATGAGTACGCACGTAGAGCTTCGCGTAGGGTGTTCCTTGTGCGTCGACAAGTACGGTCTCGCCCTCGACGAGCAGGCCAGTTTCTGCGACATCGTTAGTGCTGAAGAGTACTGGCAGCACAATACCCATGCTTACTGTTCTCCGTGACGCCTGTGACGCGTCTCTTCAACTTCCATCCGGACCCGCTGACCGCCGGGAGTGGCTTGAGGATTTCAATGCTTTGTGAAGCATGCACCTGGTAGGAGTTGCACATGAGCATCGCCACGTCGGCGCAGAATTGGAACGTACGACACGATCAGGGTTCAACTTCGGAAGGCCTGGCGTTGACTTCCCGCCCCCCATGAGCTGCCGGAAGTCGACGACGTCCTGACTCGTGCCCTTGAAGCCAAGGACGACGGGGTATGTCGGAAATGGTGCCCATGCCTTGTCTTGCATGGTCTCAGTTGCTATCCTTAACGTAACAGGTCCAGAAACACCTTACCGAGTTCTATGGTGGCAGTTGAGTTACGCTGAGTTCGCACGAGACAGTCAATGCGCACCGTTCACCAAAGAAAGGTCATCCTTCTTCGCACCAATACCAACTGCGTAGACCAGCAAGTCCCTCTGATTCCAGGCAACCTGCGCAAACATGTCAGGTCAGGCGGCGTTTCCTTCAGGTCGTACGCACGGGTTTGTCCTCTTCCTGGTACCCGACGGCTTTGGCTAGATCGACGCCCGACATCGTGGATGGCTGGTGAAGTGTGCGGGGATGGGAAGCTGTTCACGCGTGTTTATATGGCCCGTGGAATTCGTCTCGGGCATCGGGGGGAGGATGGACGGATTCATACCGGACCAGTTCACATGATTGATCCTGCTGAGCCGCCAAGTATCGTCACACGACGCGACGCGTCGGTGGCGCCACTCGATCGCGCGTACGGCGTCTTTCTTCCCGACCACCATGTCCTCCGCTACATCCCTCGCGCGCAAACGGCGCATACATGAGGTATATGCTATGGAAATTGACTGCGACAACCTCGTAGCAGGTTCATCTACCTCGATCGTGCCCTCAGATGTTGGCGAGCGCGATCGGTACTCAGCGGGACCGGAGGACGGTATGAATCCTGGAGTCGGTGGTGAAGACTCGCAGGAGCTACTGCAGCATATACCCGCGCCTTGGAAGGAAGAGCGTGAGGCGCGCGGGCTTAGCCTCCACGGCCACCGTAGTCTGAAAGACTTCCTTGTACAATCGAGTAACTCCGCTGGGGACACTTCTGCGGGGCCCCCGCCGCAAGAGCCTGCTGCAGATGGCCGCATATGGCCTGCTGGCGCGACAATCCCCCCTTCTCCACACGGTAAGTCTCGCGAAGTGGTACCAGGCCCCGGGGCATCGCTGATAGCGAGAACGTCGGCAGAATTCTTCGCGCGCACAGTGACAAAGCTTGCGCGGAAGATGAAGATGCCTCCCCCTCAGTTTGCGAAACCAGCGCCAGAGCCGACCAATCAGGCTCAGCCGCACTCGGTGGGAACCACCAGAGCACCTGAGCCACCCGCTGCGCCTGTAACGCAACCCACTAAATCCAACAAATTACCAAACAAAACTCCAGATGCGCCTGCAGTCAAGGCTAGCGAAGCCGCGCAGCAGGCTACTACTAGTGCGACGTCTCAGGCTCAGGACACGTCAAACGCACCAGCAGTTACGACACATGCCGCAACTGTTTCTCAGTCTGCATCTACTATCCAGACACCCGCTGAGGATATTCCGGTCTCTTCAGGATCGAACTCGCAGGCAGCACCAGGACCGACAGCGATGGACGCCCAGCCTGCTGATCCCAGCGTGCTCCCTATGCCGCCGCCTCAGGCTGCGCGCCCGCCTAAGCCCCGAAGGCTACCCCGAGGCCGGCCATGAACCATGCCGAATTCGCTACGCTGTTGCGCAGCTGTTTCTCGACTGAGGACGACGTGGCTCAGGACTCGGTGACGAAGCTCAAGGAGTTCGCGAAGGGCGACGCGGGAGTGGCGCGGGTGTATGCGCTCACGAAGCAGATGCTCGCAGAGCAGCACGCGTTGTTCGTACAGCGGATGCAGGACGAGGGCGCACAGCTCCTGGAGGCCGAGCTGTTCCATGCCTGGCTCGTCGATTGCGGGAGTCTCGTTTCGTTGATGAGTGTGCGTCTAGCATTCTAGACGATGACTTCTGGCTGACTTCAGGGTGCTCAGCGTTTGTTGCGCGTGCATCGCCCGCCATCGTGGAGGCCTGTCCCCGGGCTTGCCAGGATCGCTTTCGCGGTGGGGTCCGCCCTGTTCAACCTACAGAAGGACGGCGGCATGTTCGACGTCTCCTGGCAGGCGTCCGCTGACGGCTCCCCTCCGCGAAGCGTCGCCAAATCCACGACGCCTACAGACAAGGACAGCATCGCCGCCGCCGGAGTCAAAGTGCGGACCACTCTGTCGAACTACGACGATGACTTGGTCGCGATCGTCCTGCGGTACAGGGCGGAGCACCGCTCCGGAGGCAACACAATGCGGGCTTGCGAGAAGCGGTTGGGTGCTGCCCTGACGGGGATGGCGCAGAGGGCGGGGATCGGTGCGCCAGAAAGTCCCGCGGATTGTATGAAGAAGAGCAGGCGGGCTATGCTGCAATGGGCGGAGAACGTGGCTGGCAAGGGACTGTGAAAACTAGGAATGAGGACTTACGAAGACTGCGTCATGGTGTTCAATTGCAAGAAATGACTGTACGATAACATGGACCATCCGGATCCACACGCCAATGTGCCTGTTCGCGATTCCTCGTGTAATACTAGAACCTACAGAGTATACCTGAAGTCGGGGGCACGGTCTCCCATCCTTCTCAGCTCCTCGGCACTGTATTTTACTCCCCTTTCCTCCAACTGGCGCTGCTCGATGTCTCTCCGTCTGTTAACCCACTTGTACGCCAGAACGGTCAATGGCAGGAACACCAGGCCGATGCCCACGAACATCAATTCGATTGCGTCTGGAGAGCATATCGGTGAGCGTGATGCTAGGTGAGTAGGGGATACGCACGTCCAAGAATATACCTCGGCGCATCCTGCGAGAGGTATATGTTGCTGGCTATCGCTCCTGCAAAGTTGCCAATGCCGATCTGGATACCCATACCGGCTGCACGCTTGTACTGCCCTGCAAGATTGTTACCGAGCCTAGTCCACACCTCGTTGTGAGATGTCTACATTAACGCAGTAATAAGACTGGTTCTCACCATGCGACGATGCCCGGAAGCGCGGCGTACGCCCCAGAGACGCAGAAGAACGTCCCGAAATATTTCACGCCGACCGGAGCATCAGAGATATTGATCGCGTAGCCGATGAGACACATCATGAGCCCAGCGAGGATGAACGGCGAGCGCATCTGCAGCATGTCGGATGATACCGCGAATACGATGAGTGTGATCACTGGATAGGGTTTAGTAGCGGTGTGGAGGCTACAGATACAAGGCGTACCTCCACAGACGTAGGGCGGGACAGTGAGTAGCTCGCTGATGGCGGTGTTGTACCCGAAGCTAGGGAAAAATAGGTGAGGTTCGTCACTGGGGCACCCCTTCAGCTGAGCAAGTATACCTGTTGATGATGGATCTGTGGGGGTCATTAATTTGGGTTCACGGACGAAGCCATGATTTGGCGACTCACGGAAGAAATAGGGATATGCCATACACTGTACCCGATATGGATGTTAGATTCGGCCGGCTGCGATGTGCTTGAGCAACTCACAAGGAACGACAATCCCGAAGTATACCACGATTTGCATCCAGATCTGTGATGGCAGATTATTAGCGAGCTCACCGATGTCGCTCATGCAAGCATCCGCACCTGCCAATCTAGTACGGCCGCTTTCAGATGCCGTATCTCAAACCGTTCTTCCTCTCCAACTGACGAGTTGTCAAACTCTGGGTACGTAGTGAGCAAGCGCGATGCTTCGACTTCTTGATCGTGAGCTTACTCTTTCTCCACATCAGAAATGCCCGCTCGTCTTCGGTCAGAAACTTCGCGGTGTCAGGGAAGTCGACCAGGACTGGTGTGTGTGAGCAAATGGCGGCACCTCAGACAGGGAAGCGACCTACTGAAGCAAGCTGCAAGGCCGACGATGACAGTCAAGATCCCCTCCAGAATCTACATCGCATGAATGAATAGCAGAGTGAAGCAAGCAAGACATCGTGACTGACGAAGATCCACGACCATCCGAGCAAGCCTGCAGTCCCGGACATGAAAGAGATGCCGTAGGCAAACAACCCGGAGAACGCGCCTGGGCAAAGTTATCTTCCCTCCTTGGCTCGAATGAGATTCAGGAGAGCCTACCTGCTAGTGTGGCACCCCCCTCGAAGATTGCGATCCGGTATTGAAGCATATATCGCGGATACCAGAGTGTCATACTAGACCAGGCAGCACGAGCGAAGAGAAGTCAGTGTCGTGAACTGCTGCAAACAACTATGGTGAAGACGCACTAGTACATCACCCCGGGGAACAGTCCTGCTTCGGAAATGCCAAGAAGGATGCGGACGCCCACTAGCTGTGGATACCTATTGTACAGGAGAGGGTATTGAGAAGCGCTCAACCTGAACAGGAATACAATTAGGATACTTGCGATTTCACTATTCCCATCAGCGTCCTGTAGGGTATGGTTAGTCGTCGCTACAGCTGCGTTGATCGGGGCATATGCAGCACTTGCATGATTATCCCCCATACGATCTGCGGAGCAAAGCATGAGTCTCCTGTACGAGCCCAACACGGGTACAACTTACGGTGATCCCTGTAAGCCACCTACGTGTGTCGATACCTTGAGCACGTCGTCAGAGTGAGCGCAAGGACAACCTACCGCGAAGGGCGGAATTTCTTCAACACAAGACTGCCAACCAATCAGTCTTCTTCAAATCTGTGAGACCAGTGCTGACTTCGCTGGCACACCGAAAATGCAATACGGCTGTCGAGGACACGCGCTGAGTATTTGACAGTGGGATACATGCCAGACCGGCGAGCTCACTATGAAATACATCGTCTATCACAATGTTACACCGTTGGTTGTAGTGCGAGGCAATAAGGAAACGTACCAAAGCAATATTGTACTTATGACCAGTCAGATTCAGTTGTGTTGTCAGGCCTTGTAGCTTGGCATTGCCTGAGAACTACGATGAGCAACGTAGGTTCACTACATGGCGCAGTGGATGGCAGTCAGCGCACCAATATTTCCTGCCATGCCTTATTCAGCGCGTCTCGCTCAGAGTCCAGGCATTTGACGTACCTCTATCCATGAATGAACACAAGTACATGATCGTCAATATTGGGAGGATTCGCAAGTCGACTTTGCGCCACAGTTTCTTCTCTTGCTCCGGTGTAAGGACCGGCGGTCCCGCTTGCTCGATTTCCTCCTTCCCTTCTGAAGAAGCCATATACCCCATCGCACGGGCGTCCGTCTTCTCGCCATCGACACTTCCGGTCGAGCTTGCTCGGGTCGGCATGTTGGTCGCAGGAAGTAAAGGCCTCGCCAGAGCGGAGTGCGTTCATCGCAGCTCGTTCATGTTACGTATCGTACCATACTGCGACATCAATTGTATATTGACACCTACCCAGCTGACCGCGATTCCATGTTGGAAGTTGGTTCTGTGTCACCGCATCATCGGAAGAGCAATCAGGAGTGCAGATAGAGGGGCATACTGGGGGCATATGAGCGCTAGGTGCGTCGCGTGATACAGGCCTGTGCGTACCCATTGGCATC